CCAGCCCATCTGGATCAGAAGCCAAATACTCGGCTTTTTTTCTCATTAAAAAAAATGTGTTAATTTTAAATTTTGCTCTATCTCTATGCAGAGCCACTTGACATCCCATTTGAAACAAAATAAAGTGAAATACAAGAAATTATATATATATTTTTCAAATTCATGTTTTACCATTGCTGAAATCACGGTGCACTTTACATTCAATGCACCACGGAATTCAGGGCACGGTGTCAACCACACCTGGCATTTCAGCAGACACGTGGGTCACATGCACGACATCTGGGGACCTGGGGAGGTGTGACTCTGGCACCAAGGACAGAGGGACGAATGGGTGACTTACAGGAGGGGGCACGGATCCTGTGTGTTCGGAAGAAGTGGGAGGGGCAGAGGGACCCAGGCCAATTTCTTCAGTCATTGATCACAGTCAAGATTAATGCAGCCCCTGCCCCCATCTGATCTGAGAGATTTTTGTGGAGGTAGTTCAAAGGAACAATGTCCCCTTTCTTTCCTCTCTTGCCTTAGCCCTAGAAGTTGTCACTGGCCATAAAACATGCATCCGCCCGGTCTGCATGGCTCCGTGGTTGAGCATTGAACTATGAACCAGGAGGACAAGGTTCGATTCCCAGTCAGGGCACATGCCCGGTTTGGGGGGCTCAATCCCAGTAGGGGGTGTGTAGGAGGCAGCCGGTCAATGATTCTCTCGCATCATTGTTCTCTCTCTCTCTCTCCCCCTTTCTTTCTGAAATAAATAAAAAATATATTTAAAAAACAACAAAATAGAAACATACATCCTTTGGCACACTGGGGTACACGGAGTTGGAAGGACAGCTAGACTGCTCCCCATGTACTCACACCCTCATGTCCTAATTTCCATTTTATAGGAGCAAAGGCAGTAAAGTCGTGAGTGCAGCTGACTCTGCCCTAAGCCTGTCTGAGGAGTGGTGGCTGCCAGTGGTCACCGCCTCCTTGAACTGTGTCCACAGCCGACTGGCATGGTGGGTGTCTTCTCCCCCAGCCACGTCCCAGCCTGGCGCTGACCATGGTGAAGCAGCTCGGCAAGGTCCGGTGGCAAAGGCAGCCAGGCCCTGACTCCAACTGCTCACACTCTTTGGCCCAGTAATTTCCCCCCTTGGGGGTTACCCTGGAGAAACGGGCTGAGAAAGGGGCTGGGATTGACAGACAAGTATGGTTTATAAAACTTCCATGTGGAAATAAGGTATTCATCAAAAGGGGCCTGGGTCAATAAATCCTGGCACACACTGCCAGTGGAACACGAGGCAGTATTTGAAAGTCAGGCTTTTGAAATATCTTCATTGGGAAAATGCTCAAAATTCAGTGTGTACTTAAGGGTATAAAACAGTTCAGAAGGTACAGAAATTAGTGTAATCGAATATATCATTTAAAAATGACTGGAGCCCAGCTGGAGTGGCCTGGTTGGTTGAGAGTCGTCCTGTGCACCCTAGGTTGCCGGTTTGACTCCTGGTCAGGGCACATATCTGGGTTGTGGGTTCGATCCCTGGTTGTGGCACGTAGGGAAGGCAACCAATTCATGTTTTTCATTCACATCGACGTTTCCCTCTCTCGCTCTCCCTCCCTTCCTCTCTCTAAGCATGTTCTCAGGTGAGAATTAAAAAATAATAATAATTAAATAAAAACGACTGGATGGAATGACAGAAGTATTTCTATTTGTTCTCTGCAGGCGGAGAAATTCTGGGCGATATGAAGGATTTCTTTTAGACTTTTCTGACATTAAAATTTGCTACAGTGACTAGGTCAGTGGTTCTCAACCTTGGCTGCATATTAGAATCACCTGGGAATTTTTTTAAAATCCTGATTTCTGGGCCTCATCCTCCAGAAATTCTATTTCTTTGTGACTAATGTTGTGGCCCCACCCCATAACAAAGAAACAGAGTTTCCGGAGGATGAGGCCCAGAAATCAGGATTTTAAAAAGATTCCCAGGCGATTCTAATGGGCAGCCAAGGTTGAGAACCACTGGACTAGGTAGTACATTGAATTTGCATTCAGGTTACACTATAAAAAGCAATCTTCATTAAAAAAATAATTACAACATACAAGAAGAGCTCTGCAAACAGCCCTAGGGAGAATAAAAGAGAAAAGAAAGAACGCACCTACTGTAACAAGTAACAATACTCACAGCCTTCGCTGATTGGCTGCTGCGGTTCCCGGGGGCGGGACTGTGTCAGTAACTTCCGGGGCGGGGCCTCGGCCGCCGCCGCGAGCGGGCGGTCGCCATGG